TTGTTTTCGTTTCAATACAAATAAACAGTGTTTAAATTCCATCATTAAATCATTTGCGTCTTCTTAAATTTTAAATATATTTGGTTACTTTTCACCAAAATGGACATAGAAACATAATTTACAAATACGAAAACTATGATAGTTTTCGTGAGCTCAAACTCGTACTAAGGGTACTGTTCTTTTCTGCATAGTACTTTTACAAAATAATGTCGATGTTTCACATCTGCCAGGCGTCCCGTGACGGCTCACATTTTTTTAAATAAGTATTTAAACTCGATTGCAATCGCTCTACATTAACATAGTAATCGTATCAAAAACGTATCCGTAATCATGGAAATTTAATTGAACCAAACACAGTGTACTGGCGACCGCAAATGAAAGCTACTGAACAGTCCATCCACCCGGCTACACTTAGTGAGGCAATCAATATTAGCCCTGCGTCGCTTTGTTCGCGAGATCACTGTACACGACCCTATTAGTGCCGGCTTTTAGCGTAGTGATGGGATGGAAACGGTATCGATAATTGACATTGACTATAACTTATATGAAAAAAAGGTTAAGGATTTTTTTGGTGTGTTCCTTCCGATTTATTTTACTTGTTGTTTTGTAAAATTATGTTTTCAAACAAAAAAATTATTGAAAGGGACGTTGTTCAAAAAATAGCTAATGTAATCACTCTTAGTAATTTTTTAATGAATTCTACGTCGAACGTTTGTAAAAGTAAAAGTGTTTGTAAAAGTATTTAGGTAAACTTAAAAACAGTTACCGCGAGACATAAATAACATGACATAAAAGTAAATAACTTATCGACAATTAATGATAAGTAATATCTGTAAAAGATGAACAATCTAAATACGCATGCGCTTGTGGTTTCATAGTTTCATTATCTACTTAAAATATATCACAGTAATTTAAATAATTATTAATAATAAAAATAATTCGTATAAAATTAAGAAACATAGAATATTGATTCATCGAGAAGACGTCGTAAAAGACGGACATCGCACGGATAGTCGTAAAACATGAACAATATAAATACGCATGCGCTTGTAGTTTCAATTCTTCTTCTTCACTTCTTCTTGTTTCATAGAAACATTATTTAGATATAAAAATTATACATATTTATTTTGGAAACTTATAATATCGATAATTAAGATAAACGATGCAACAGGCCTATAACATCACTAAGCTTATCTAAGTTGGCGGCGATCGGGGCCGATGACTAAGCCTCGTTAATCTAACAATTATTCATTGAAGATACCGACTCGCCCTATGAAAAGCGGATTGAATCAATGATCTACTATCTCTTTTCTTCTAGTACTTGTGCATTTTAATGTGAAAGAGATAGACGACCACAAAATAGGTGAGACTACTTTTTGAATTTCGCAATTGCCTACATCAAGTGTGACAGTAACTGTAGCGGAAATGAGGTGCTTGTTATTTGATTATTTTGTTTTATATAGTTCTTTTATTTTGTAAATAAATGTTTAAATATGTTATCATTACATGTTATATTTAATTTAGTTGCTCCTGTATCTATTTTTATGTGTACAGAATATATATGTAAATAAATAAATAAATATAAGCCACTTAGGTATTTCCTAATATATGATTTTACAAATAGGTAGGTTAATGTAATTAAAAAAAACATACCTCTTTTCTTCCTTTTACCGTAAAATTATAATAAACTAAGTATTATTAGTTAATTTTTTTTTCGGATTTAATTGCTAGATGTCAGTTAAATCTATAGAAAATTTTAATAGAAAAAAAACTTTAAAGATTTCTTTAGCTTTAAACATGAAGCAGTTATATGCTTAAAAAATAAAAAAATAACTAAAATTGCTATTTCTTCTTTCAAATGTTTAATACTTGTAAAGGAATTCATTTAGCATTGTGGGTTAGTTACCCACGCGATACGCGATATGATAATGCGAAGAGATGGCGCTGCCTTGCAGCCTTAGAAATGCTAGACAAAATTCGACACGGACAATTAGGGCCGCGGTATAATGGTATAATGATCGTGCATCCTCCCGTAAGGTGATGCCTCGTTCACGTTTCTTCTAGTACAATTTTCTTAAGTATTGGTAAACCTCATAATAATAACATTAAGTATTTTATGTAAACCTGTACCAAAATCATAGTTTTGTAATATTTTACTTAAACTTTTTTATGTCAATAATTATTATTTACATTACAACGAAGTTTTAAGTTTGCTCTTCCTTTATAAATCTATGCATGTCGCCGTAGTAACGCTGTAAATTTGTCATGGATACATTATTATTTTAATTATTTTAAATGATATAAAGTAAAATATTAAACACTTTTTAGACTATACGAAATCTTTTTAATCGTTTTGTGCTTTTATACAAATTGATGCTTCAATCACAGTGGGCTGTAAGGTTTTTATTAAACCACGAATTAATTTGCACTTATCGGTTCATTTTTATCCTTGACTAGCGGTCCGCCCTCGCTTCGCTTCGATGTAGAGCTGAAGTGTAGACTACAGTTTTTGTTCTCAGGCTTGTATTATACACAATGACATTTATTTATGATTCTTCTTATACCTGCATGCAAAGCCTCAGCCCGATCGGTTTAAAATTGACAAAGTTTCATGCAAATTTTCTTTCCCTATTTTATCCTCTTGGGGGTAGAATTGATCAAAATCCTTTCTTAGCGGATGCCTACGTCATAAATCTACCTGCATGCCAAATTTCCGCCCGATCTGTCCAATGGTTTGGGCTGTGCGTTGATAGATCACTATGTCAGTCAGTCACCTTTGAGTTTTATATATATAAATTATAAAGAACACCACAAACTTCACTCAAGAACTAGAAAGAAAGAAAGACACTTTAAATAGATGTAAAGCACGTAGTTAAAATAATAGTGTTAAAAATTATTGATAAATAAACTGCAACTTAAAATTTAAATATTGTAGTCAGGATTAGAATAGAGCGTTCACCTAAATTGGTATTAAAACGATAAATCGTGGCGTTGAGATCAGAGAGCATTTAAGATTGATTGATACACCGTAGATTGTGAGGTCCTAATCAATTGTTGACGTTAGAACAATAAAGATTAAATTGAATTATACTAATGGGTGAGATTTTTTTATATATTTTTTGATGATAAATTACTCCCGCAGTAATGATACAGTTATGACGCTCTTAGAGCCGAATATCTATTTCGAGCTCAAAGAGCAGGGGTAGAGTTGTGGCCATGTCGATAAATACGAATTAACGTCGACAGCGTTTTCACGGGATTTCTTTCATTTTACAAATTAAAGAAAAGGCAGAGGCACCAAAAGATAAAATATTTATAAAAAACTTTAAAATGGTGAACTTACGTAATCGGAATCGCCATTTGCATGATTGCCAGTAACTTTATTATTCTTTTAAAATTATTAGATATATTTCAAATCATCGTGTCTGATGATGCTAGTAATTTGAAAAATCTGTTTTAATATAATTGAGATAATAAAATCTGTAGACGCTAAAGAATTCTTCCAACAAAATTTCACCAGTCGCCTACGGTAGAAACCTAACCACTTTCACTAAAACATTGGCAATATTCCCGGAATCATAAGATCGGTAATATGTATTTACTTTCCTAGTAAAGTCCTTAGATTTCAGCACATCACTACCTAATTCAACCTTACACAGTACACAACGTTACAGAAAGATGATATTTTCTTGGAGCATACCGTCCCCGGGCGGTGATTCAATCCTGGCCGCCCTACCAATTAATTTGCCATTATTTAATTAAACAGTTACTAGGGTTCTGTACCTAAAGGGTGCCAACAAGCTCTGTACTTAGCCACTTTTCTTCGTTCGTCAGAGAAAGGGCTGTGGTTATATACGTTATAACCGTTACAACACTTATAAAAGAATGCTGACATGATACATTACGTTATTATTTATAACCGCGTTTTGATAAAAACAAGACAAGCAAAAAATTTAATGAGGAGGATGTATGGCCTTGGTTCTCTTTGCCTTCCTCATAAGAGAAACAAAATCGTTTTACGAAAACATCCGTTGACATCTCTTAAATATGACTAAAGATCTTTTTAAAACAAAAATATATCCTAGATGAGAGCAATCAAAGATCATCCGAATTATTTTGATGGAAAATTATTTCGAGTCTAGTATAATAATCTACCGTTTCCAGGTGAACACACCTCGCGTGAGATTTTCACAGGGCGCAATAACATTTCAATTCTGCCGCGTTATTCCGCCTCATTACGCGTAGAATCATCCGAGGTCCGTGAGCAGAAATTCAAATTATCAATATACTCGTACAAGCGGTGTATAGTGTTGGGGCGGTGTATTCTCATAATTCAGATGGCTTCATCATTAGATAACAATCCTTTATAATAAATATAACTTTTAGTAGCTGTAACTTTGTCCGTTTGTTTGTTTGCTATGCGCTACTAATAGCCGTTTGCGTCAAACACTATTTTTTCAATATTTTCATTATATTATTTCGCCACATATGCAGATAGGAGCATTAGACTGTTGCTAATTTTTGGGATAGAGGGAACTGTTTTGTCTGCTGATTTTTGTTGAGTTGGCAAATAAGATAAGCATCATTAACTAATTTAAGCATCGTTCGAATAAAAAATTAAAAAAAAACACTAGATACCACTAACAATTTCGGGACTCGAAAATGGTTATTAATTATTGATATATATTAAATTATTTACGATTTCTCACTATGACACCCATATGTATTGTGTTATTACTTAAATTCGCTTAGTTATAAGAGAAGCTGTAGGAACGCTTTGAAAACGTAAAAAAATATCAAAAACCTAACATCCGTTTATTTCATTCCCTTCGTATTTCCTGAACTATTGCAACTCTCTATGTACTTGCAACTACGTAGAACCAAACTACAGTCGAAGTCGGATTTGTTGGTGATCAGAATTCAATTTGATAGTGCCCCTGTAGTTGATTTGCCACGTCGAACCGGCTACGCAACATCAAAGGGTGCAACACTCAACTCACGCCAAGCGATATGAATGCACTCCGGATGCTCTTGTGAATTGGGTACGTGAATTTGAAAAATTGTTGTACTGGATGTGGCAATTTAGCATGGCTTGTTGCGTAGATAATGTCGATATAATAACTTCTGTTTTCTACATTTTTATCGTGATTTTTATATCTAAAAATGGAAAAACAATTGATTCGACCAAGGTTCAAAGCTGGATTAAAAACAGCATCTTTCGCAATCCGGACAAATGCTAGGATGGCTGGTTCGATTGGTATAAGGAGGCTGGGCTTTATGGGAGTTCGTCCAAGATCCAATACCGACACTTTTGTAGTATTTATGTAAGGATACCTCAACTTTTTGCTTATCATAATTCTGATTCCTAGTTATGTATTGGTTACGTGTAATAAGGAAATTAAAAAGAAATAAAACTAGTTTTTACGGGTTAATGCACGAAACTTTATTTATTTATTGACGTTTCGCAGCCTTTTCAGGTCTGCATCGTCAGAATGACGATGCGAAGTTTTATTTAATGAGTGATGTGCGTGAAAACCTAAGAAACAAATATATTAAAAAGAAATATTGATTGTCTTTTCATTTTTTTCTTTTTTTGTAGTATGTCTAGGTATGTCTTTCTGTACCCCTAGCACGAACCAAAATCGAATTCGTATTGTTTGCAAGTCCGAAATGTCATTGTCAAATGTGTACTGATTTTTAGTTGTCGTTACGTACTTTGTGCCGCTGCTGTTCAAGTTTTCATACAAAATTTAACATTGACATTTCGGTTTGCAAACTATTCGAATTCGATAATGGTTCGTGCTAGGGGTACTGATGAGCTTATCTAGCAGAAAAATACACCACAAAAACACATACAAACTACATACGGTCTGAAATGGCTTAATCAAACAGGAAAATCTATGTACTAAAAAGTGTATTTTTTCTGACAACTGCCGGGTCAGAATCTAGTGCCTCTTTGAATTTAAGCGTAGTTGAAGTACCCCTACATACAGAGTTGATTAGCCGACGAAACTAAAACGAATATTGTTTTTCCAAATATCCCTGTCGTATCCAGAGTTTCTATTAGCAGATTTCCTTGTCGTTTATCGCAATATCTGCAAGTACGCAGTGCAGCTTGGCAGGCCCTGGCACCTCACCTCCGCCAGTCGTGGCGTCGGCTGAAGTAAAGAGGTTGGCAATATACCAATATAAGAAGATATTCCAAAATCAATGACTTAACAATTTTGCAGGAGATACATTTTTGCGATTTGAATTTTCTGAAGAGTTTTATTTATATTTTTATCTACCATACGGAGCAGATTTTTATATTAATTTGAAATTTCGCAATAACTTCACGTCTTAGTACAACTTTTCCTTGGAAGTGACGCGCTTTATCTCTGTAATTTTTTGGTTGATTGAGACAAGAAAAAATTTAATGTTTCCATTATTATTTGATATATTTATTGACGGACTAAATAGAATATCGCTTACTTAACCCCGTCATCACCCCAATTATACTTAAACATATACTGAAAAGCTAATTATGTATACTTACACCGGTTGTTGTTAATTGTGGACTATAGTCTATTTTGTGTAACAATATATTGAAATAAATATAGAACACAGAAAGAGGTTAGAAGGGCATTGTGGGTGGGGTAGGTGCGCCACAGTTATGTTTGAACAAGTGCTTATAACTTGACCAAAACTTGGTTCTGATTGCGTCGTTGGTCACTAATGTGAGCGCTGATTGGTTCGATTGTTTGATGTCGCGTCGTTTGATTGGCTATTATCTAAAATAGGTGGAAGTGCAGTGGGGGCGAGCCGGCGACAATGGTTTATGATCACACTTCTAACCTCTGTGTTCTGTGGAATTAAAATCTAAAAAGTCAGTCACTTTTATAGTTCGCACCTACTCAAATCGTACTTCTCGACTTTATATCGTAATATCACTAAGTACATTATGCAGGCAGGTGCAGCTTGGCAGCACTGGCACCGCTCACATAGAGTTGAGTGGCCAGTTGGCAGCTCACCAATCCTAGCGAAACTATTAAATAAAACGCCATTTTGTTGTTCCGCTGATAAAACTTTAATGTACGAGATGAATCGAAATGTAATAGCGAATTTGGCACGAGTGTTGCTGTGTTTCATTTTGTTCGCGGGTAAATTATTTTTGTGGTGTTATAATTAGAATGGGAAAGCCAGAAAGCAACGTGAAGTTAAATTGTACAGTGATGAGCGCGTTCGGTCTGCTATCACGGAAGTTAAGCAACTTTCACATTGGCTGGTTAAAGGATGGGTGACCAAGCAAAAAATTACTATCTCTAGCTCCTCCTTGCTTCTTCCACTTCTTCCGGCTGTATTTGAAGTCATTAGCACCCATCAATCCACACTGAGCACGTACACACATCAAAAAAAGTTTGCGATCACTTTGAATAATTGATTGTTTTTTCGTGTTACAGAAGACTTTTTTGTAATTCCTTTTTTCTGATAAGATACTGAATTTTAAAATTAAAATGACATGCAATCCCAGCTGACACTCATTCCGAAATCTGGCTTAGTCAATATTATTGAATTTATAATATTTTTTCACGGAAAGTTGTGATTTAAAAAATGCCACGAGGATTATCAGATGTTTTACGAGCCAGAATTGTAACTTTGAGGGAAGAAGGCTATTCTACGAGAGAAATAGCACGCAGAGTTGCCATATCCCAATCCTGTGTAGTAACCACGTTGCAGAGGTACCACGGCATGGGTAATTTAGCTGATCGACCCTGCAGCGGTCGGCCAACTGTTTCGACAGCTGCTCAGAAGCGCTACATCAGGTTGCTGGTAGCCCGCGACCCAACAATAAACGCCACTAAATTAAAAGTAGAAATACTGGCCGCCTCCGGACTTGAAGTTAGCACTCAGACCATTCGGAATTGCTTACACAAGGCTGGATTATAAGCGCGGAGGTCTTGGCGAGCACCTTTGAATTCACAGTGGGCTAGGCTCCGGCAAAACGAAGAAGACGAAGAGGAAAACATTTGGCAAAACTGCCTCTACGTTGACGAATCGCGAATCAGTACTCATCTAGATAACCGACGTGTCCGTGTTTGGAGAAGACCTGGAGAATCTGAAAGGCAAAGAACGGCCACTGGAATGGTTCAGCAAGGCGGGAAAACAGTAGCCTTTTGGGGTGGTATTATGATTGGGGCTACAACGCCTTTAATCCCTTATCAAGGCTTCATGACGGCAGACAGACATAAAACAGTCGCTATTGATGGAATTGTCAGACCTTTCCGAGTAAACCATGGGCACCAATTTGTACTGGTTGACGATAATTCGCCCGCACATCGAGCTCAATAAATCAATGCTGCACTCCGAGAATACGAAATCACAAGGTTAGACTGGCCTGCCGGCTCTCCTGACTTAAACCCAATAGAGCACGCGTGGGATGCTCTTAAGCGAGCTGTTTGGAACCGGCAGCCACCATCCCAGACAGTGCCGCAGCTCAGGGAAGCTGGTGTTCAATAATGGGACAGGTTACCAAAAGAAATGCTGGATAACTTGATCCTCAGCATGCTCAGGAGGATCACCGCATGTGTTCGAGCCAGAGGAGGAGTTATTTTGTATTAGGTAAGCAATAATTTATTAACAAAAGGTTTTTAAGTTTGGTTAAACTATCTTTTTATTTCTATCAAAGTTTTATTACAATCGCCTTAGGACTGAATTATTAAATTTTTTATAGTAAAAAATAAATTCAGTTATATTTTTTTAATTTTTGTAGAGTGTATTTTTAAATAGAAAAAGATATAACGTATACATTTTCTCTTGATTAACTTAAATTTTGAAAAATATATCAGCTTTTACAAGCGATCTCAAACTTTTTTTGATGTGTGTATGTTGGGAGAAGTTACGACCGTTTTTCTTATTAGAACCTGACGATTAACCTTGAAAGGGAAAATCAATTAACTAAATGTTGATGATGGTGTTTAATCGTCCAACCACCGGTGCCACCAGTCAAGCCCTTTGTGTTTAAAAACAACTGATTTTTAACTACTGTTTAAGAGTAGTCATAGAAACCGGAAACTCAGTCTTAAAAACCAGTCTATTAAAGATTTAATTTAAATCTTTGTACTGAATAAGTCGGAACTGGAGGTTTAGTTTATATATCCCACAAAATAAATACTAACTTGAAGTATTTTTGGTGACTTAAAAATACGAAAGAATAAATAATAATACTCGAAGATGCTACTCCATTATCTATATCTTATAATGAAGAGCTAAAGATTTTCTTTGACAACGGTAAAAATATACTGATGAGAGTTAGCTGATACATATGAAAAAAAGTAGGTAAGTTTATTTAATGTCAACGTGAGTGAGAAACAAATTGGTCACATTTCGAAAATGACAGTAGCATATTAAGGTCAACTCGCACTTCTAATATCTCATAACAGAAGTGTCAGCTAGTTGAAATAGCTAAATTCGTTTAACACTAGATTTACTTGTTCCAGGCCACGCCTGCTTGAAGCGCTGCCAAATTACCACAGCGGCGGCGGCCGACCAATGGCAGGCCGCCGTTTTGGCGCCCTAGATTCCGCCGACCAATCACCGCTACGGGCGAAGTGCTCACGCGCATGCATTGTTTTGCAATTCAATGAGTTACTAATTATTTGTTTGGTTTGGCATCGTGATTCGTGCTCTTTCTCACGGTCAAGTCGTTAACAGAGAAGGAAATAAGGTATACGTTATCGTTGTGTTAATCTATACTTATAATAAATCTGTAGAGAGGTCAATTCTGTACATGAAATATATTTTCAAAATAACTATCAGGGGGTGATTAGTGATCGATACTGATGCCAAAAATGCAATCAGTAAAATTTTTGTCTGTCTGTCTGTCTGTCTGTGTGTTTGTTCCTTATAGAAACAAAAACTACTCGACGGATTTTAACGAAACTTGGTACAATTATTCTTCATACTCCTGGGCAGGTTATAGTATACTTTTCATCACGCTACAATCAGTAGGAGCAGAGTAGTGAAGGGAAATGTTGGGAAAACGGGAGAAGTTACCCCATTTTTTAAGCTTCCGTCGCGTGTGCAGCCTTAATGATTAAAGTTACATAGAAATCATGTATGACGGAAATATTCTACATAAAATTGTCTAAAAAATATCCTGCAACAGCATATGTCTATCTTTTATGGTTGACTCACAATAACACGTGTAACTCCCGATAGCTTAGCAGTTTACTCTTACGTTTATAATACTCGGTATAGAAACACCAAACTTATATATGAAATAAGCCATCGCGCCGTCGCACGTGAATACTGAATCATGCTATAAGGATTATTTTTGTGTAACGGTTGCCGCGCTCGACAAAGGTCGCGGCAGCGGTAGGGTATCAAAGGTCCGAGAGCGAGCTGTCTAAATCTGTTTTCTGCGTCGCTCCCCCCCTGGGGGACGATCGCTTCCGATGAAGCCTTAGAGGCCTTCCCGGCCAGAGGCAGCCCCTACGGGTGTTTTTTAGTCAGTACGAGTCTGACATAACCTTGCAGCCGGCTGTAGGGTATCCATGAGGATTTCTCATCTGCTCCCCCGCCTGGGAGACCGAAACCGTGCTTATCAGCGCGACTTTTAGTCTTTAAATAGTTTATTTGAATTTCTTTTGTTGTTATTTTGTAAAACAGGTATTAGTTGTTTTGGTAGTGTTTAAATATTCGTTCAAATTAAAAATTATTAAGCGTAGGTACTTTTATTAATTAAAGTAGTTATAAGTATTTATTTTTAAGTGAAGGAGGTATAGGTAGATAGTATTGCACAGGCGTTTCAGCTTTATTTTCATTTCTTTTTTGTTGTGAGTTGTATATATTTCTGGTTATAATTCTATAAGAATATTTTAGTTCAAATAGTCACTTAGATTTTATGTGTAAGGTAGCTAAAGTTAGGACCACGTATTAGTTGTTTTGGTAGTGTTTAAATATTCGTTCAAAGTGTAATTTAATCATATAGGATGAATGTACGATGGCCCATCGAAAAGGAGTAGAAGCGGTAGACAGAGCTTTAAGAGATATAAGACAAAATGATCGACCTATGGGCGGTATCACAGTTTTATTTTGTGGTGATTTCCGACAAACCTTAACGGTAATACCACGGGGAACCCGAGCTGCTGAGGTTAGGGCTTGCCTGAAAAGCTCTTATTTGTGGCGTGATATACAATCGGTGCATTTGACTATAAACATGCGAGTGAGAACTGTAGATAGCCCGGATGATCGTCAATTTTCTGATATATTATTAAAGAAAATACCTTCACCAAAGATACCTATCCACTGCTACACCAAGGAAAACTTATTCTGACGCCTGAGTTATGTTGTATAGTGCAATCCCAACAACATCTTACATCGTCAGTTTACGGTGACGTAACAAATATATTAAATAAGAACAATTCTTGGCTATGCGAAAGGTCTATTTTAACTCCTCGCAATGACCAGGCATCTCAGATTAATAATAAAATACTGTCGAATATCCAGGGGGAAAGCAAAGTTTATAGTTCAATAAATAGAATGGCCGATGAACAAGAAGCCACTAATTACCCGATAGAATTTTTAAATTATTTAAATATGCCCGTACTTCCTTCTCATGAAATTTGTTTAAAAATTGGCATTCCGATTATTCTGCTCCGAAATTTAAGACCACCACAAATTTGCAATGGAACTCGGCTTAAAGTAACCCAGTTGCAACAAAATGTAATCGAGGCTCAAATTTTAATAGGTTGCGGTGCAGGAGAAACCATCTTTATTCCCAGAATTCCCATAATACCAAATAATTTTCCATTCCAATTTAAAAGAACGCAATTCCCAGTATCGGTGTGTTATGCAATGACAATAAATAAGGCTCAAGGGCAGACCTTTCGTGTTGTTGGAGTAGATCTCGGTGTCAGTTGTTTTTCACATGGTCAGTTATGTCGGTCTTTCCCGGGTTAGCAGTCCTAGAATTTTTTATGTTCACGTTCCGGACGGGTCAAATTTCAACGTAGTCTACCCGGAAGCTTTGCGCTGAAGTATTTTCATTCTATATGTACTTAAGACTCATACGAAAGCGATCTAAACAATATTACCAATACATTAACATAATAACATACAAGGAGTTACACGCTGATGGTCTCGGGGCACAGTGATAATAATAATATTCTGCGGTTCCTTATTGCGATATTTTTAACAGTATTATATTTCCCTACTAAAATACGAAAGTTAATCTGTCTGTCACATCAAAACCACGGAACCCTGAGGAAGGACATATGCTACTTTATTACGAAAAACGACGATAACGCGGACGAAGTCGCGGGCAAAAGCTAGTATTGAAATAAAGTGATGATCATCGACATCCGGTAATTATTCATATTGAAAGAGAAGCAATTAGTATAATTTTGAAGTGAAAACTTCTTTAGCATCGTTGTGACTTGAGATTTGATGAAACGGAAGTTGAGAATTTGACACAAGAGAAGTATCCTTAATTTTATACGTTACTGTAAGAGACAAATGGCCGAATGCAATCGGTCTCTTGAGATCGAGGCAAGTGGTAGAGCTGAGGATAACTATAATTGTTTTTTTTTATCATTTATTAAATAAAGCTATTATTATTTATTTTGGGAAACAATTTAAGTACAGAATATTGGGTAGTATACCCAGTATTTTTTGGGTATTAAACGTTTGGTAGGTGCCTCACTTGTTTATTAATACGGCTCTGGTTTTTATCAACAATTGTTATTTTTTTTATAAATAAATATTTCATTATTACTTTTAAAAAGCTTAATATTTCATACATTTTATTGAGAAATTTAATATCGTTGACACCCAAAATCATGCTACCTTATGAACTTGCATCAAAACGTAAAATACATATTTACACACTGTATGAATAGAGCTTATTAATACGAGTACTATTATTTCAAGTTATTCATAACTTCAAACATCGCAGGCTTGTATGCTTCCTACAATGGGACTAAAAACTGAATAGGAGAGAAAGTGTCTTTGTCTAAGATCACACAGATTCGTGTTGGTAACAGGACCTTTGTATTATAAAATGTTCATCTTTACCAACACGAATCTGAATATCCAATTGAAAGAAATATTTACATATTTTAAGTTACAACCGGCCAATACCATCATCCCACACATCCATCCAAAAAGAAAGACTTCATTAACATAAGTCGTAAGAATATTATTCCACCACATTTAATGATAACATTTCAATGAATACGAGTGATGATGATGAAAATTAGTGATAATATTGAATATTTTATTTTTCAACACATGAACTTTAGACAATAAAGTATGTACATAAAAATAATATTATATTTTAATTACAATTTATTATTATATTTTCGGTTGTTATTGGTCGACATCACAGGAGACCGAAGAGCTGGCAGCTACCTCGGACAAAGAATTAGTCTAGCTATTCAAAGGGGGAACGCTGCCAGTATCTTTGGAACCTTGCCTAAAGGGACTCCTTTTAATAATGTATTTTAGTTATAATAATAAAATATTATTATATATATAATTTTTATAATGAAAAAGTAGGTACAAATGAAAGTATGATTTGAGCAATGCATTGTGCTTAAAAATAATCTGCAATAATAATTAATTTTTGTTCACTTTTTGCTAGCAGCAATGTAAGTAATTATTACTTTTGAAGAAATTTAATTTAATGGAATAATTTGTGATTTGTTTGACTTTTTTTTTAACCTAACTGGGTGTTCTTATCCTATCTTAGTATGAACGTAAACGTACAAGGATCAATATGACAACAAAGTACTTACATGGTATATTTATTAATGTTGTTTTAAACTTTCATGGTCACTAACATTATAGTAATACTAGCAAACCAGTGAACCAAATGTTCACCAAAACCTGATTTCTCGAAAACCGGAAGTGCTACGTTACTCAAATCCGGTTTGTAGTCTTATCAGACTATTCTTAACTTATAACTTAAATATTCTCTTTATCTATCTCTTACGGTTTGGCCGCTGAAACAGCACCACAGACGGACGGACTTGTCTAATAGATAAGAGATAAGTTATTTACGGGATTGTTACCATGTACCTTGTTTTTTCTAGAAAGCTATTTCTTGTGATTTCAAATATTATTAGAAAAAATATCCACTAGGTCTAGGTTTTAAACTAGATTCGAGAAGAGAAAGAGAAGATGCGGATCTTCCGCCATCCGGGCGGACGCACTAACGTAAAGGTATTTCATTTGACATTGTGCGTTACCGTAAACCCTATAATGCAGAGAAATGACACTGCCATGCAACTTAAGGAATACTAGAGGAAATTCAACACGGCCATTAAGGTCTCGGTAGCATAATTGGTTAGTGCGTCCGGCCGGATAGCGGAGTGCTTGTTCGAATCCCGTCTGAAAACTGGACCTAATGAAATTTTGCTAGTAATATTTTCTTTAGATTCAAACATTAATTAAGTTATAAATTACTAATATTTTCAAGTTAATTTTAATTTATTTGAAGCTATTTATTTTTTTAATAAAGGACATTTTATTGTGAATAGCTGTACCCTATGAGGGTTCATGTGTCTGTATCTATATTTTTATGTAACATCTGTAATAACCACATAAGTGCAATAAATAAAT